GTCACTGCCACCACTTCCCAAATCGTGCTTGGTGAAACCCAATGCAAGGTAGCGTTGCTCTAACTCGCTCAACTGCTTCCGAACATGCAGCACAAAACGTGCATCATGGTAGTCACATTTTTGAGGCTGCAATGTTTGTTCCCATGCCAGAAGGATTAGCGCTTGCACTCAGTGCATGTTGCGTTGCACACCTCACCTTGGCACATTCCGGCTGACCTCTAGCTAGGGCAGACTCTTGCGGACCGCTGTTGAATTGTTTCGGCATTTTGCTGGCGCAGCAAGGCAGTGCAAATGTCTGCTTGCTGTGGTAGCCTGCTGCAAACATCCCCAAATGTAGAATGCAACAAAGAAGCTCGACACGGCTGTTCAGACCTGAGGCTCACGCTCTCACCGGAGTGAACTGATGGAGCCTCGCCTCCATCGGTTTGGACATGCAAGCAACCGGTCAGCTGCATTGTTGCCACACGCTGTAATCACTCACATGCCATGCTACGTGGAACAACTGCAGCTCAAATGCTGACAGGCCTGCACAAGGGGAAAGCGTCATCAGGCTCAGCAATGAGGGCAACGTCCATGTTGAGCTTTCCATGTTTTCTTCTGGCGGCTGAGATTTGAGAGGTACGCAGCTGCAGGGCACTGATTGGATCTGGTGACCGTCAGCTGGCAAACTTGCCCAGCGACTGATCAGCGAGCACCCAACTGCCGTTTTCCAGTGGCAATGCTTGCCAGTTCGTTAACAAACCTCTCACACCAGGCAGCATATCAGTTTTGAAGTGCTGCCAGTGCCCCTTGCAATCTGTGACACGACATACCAGGCTAAAGTCAACCGAGGCACAGGGGTGAGTTTGGGAGTCACGGAAATGCAAACGGAAAAGCTAAGCATTGAGAATTGTGAGCTTGGAGTCGGAAGTACATCTGGCACCTGATCTCGTTTGAGACCCTTGCCACATCGCCTAGCCTGAACAGGCAGAGGGCATGCGGAAGTAAAGCAGCAAGCAGACTTGCTCCGGCTCAGTGAGGTACTGTAGCAAAGCATTCCTTGTGAGCACTGTCTGTCTCAGTGCCAACTGAGACCTTAGTCGGACGCGCGAAAGCTGCTGGGCCTTACTAAGTTAGAAGTAGGAGTATTCGACAGGTAATCTTTGATGGAGGCGCGTAGCCTCCCGGACTTGTTTGACAGGCTCAGGCTGTTCATGGCTTTTCGGATTTTCGCGCAACTGTTGAGCCACGCCTACATCTGTTAACCCTTGCTGGACTTGCTTGCTAATGGACCAGTACAGTACCTCCAAGAAATACCTTGTGCACCACGTACCAAGTATCATTCTGCGGACGGTTCCGCATGTTCAGCATCGGCAAACCCAGGTGTGCGTAGGGCAGGGTTGCTGTTCAAAGACTGGGGGAATGTCACAAGGTGGAAACGTCTGAGCGCCGTTCGCCAGTTTGTAGGGCGTCTGAGCCTTCCAGCAACTTCTTTCTTGCTAAAAGAAATGATGGTGCTACACACGACCTGCCTTCAACCACTGTAATTAAGCACAACCGAAGTGCAGGCCCGCCTTCTAAGTGGTGCCAGAGTTGTTGGAGCCTGCGACCTAACTGGTGTCTATGTGCAGCAAGTCCTACATTTCGGGCTAGGAAAGCAGCGGCGACGCAAGTCATTGTGACTGGAAGTTCTGCTCTGAAGAGCCCGCGAGACGGAAGCAGCAGACCTTAGCAGCGCATGCAAAGAATCCGCACAGGCGCTGAGGCAGCCACATGCAGCCACAGTTCCACAAGCAGCACACGCAGATTTGAGTGATTTGAGGTCTTGTGCAGGCAAGCGACGATGCTGTGAGCGCGGCCAAAGGCGGCATGAACACAGGCCTGGGTGCTATGCAAGTATGCTTGGAGGCCTAGACATGCCTGGAGTCATGATGGCGTGCTGAGTGCTGTCAGTCTGTGACGCAGTTCTTTACCCTTCAGGGTGAACAAATGTGGCATGCCTGCATTCGAAGGCCGCGCCGGTCTCTGGTTCATATTCTCGGCCCGCCGACATACGTTTGACACAGATGCAATGTGTAGGTTGTCAGGTTGACTATCTAGACTTTCTGGTAGTCTGGAGGGCAGTTATTCTGCCAGAGGCTGTACAAGTGGGCCCCTTGGGCACCAATCTCTGGCAAACGAGGACAAGCAAAGATCCCAGCTTGGGTCCAAAAATAAGCATCTAGACTCATTGTCATGTATGCGCATTTTCCGGAAAATGCTAATGGCCAGATTTACGTCTGAAAGGACAACGATGCTTTTGCACCGGCATCCGTCTCATCTGTACACTTTGCATGCAGGGGGCTCGTAGATTCAATTCCTCAGCACACCACATTCTCAAACTTAATCCGGATTTGCCTGCCCTCAGAGAGCTGAACTTCGTAGCGACCAGCAGCATGATCAACATCCAGAATCTGTGCTCTCTGGCCATTCAGCTCTTGTCGGCTCAGGCCCTTCAATCGCACACACATTCCTGCTGTTAGGATGCAGTTGGCCGGCTGCAAGCGCACAACTGTCGGTGCTGCCGCCTGCACCATCACAACATACCGTCCGGTCGTGACATCCACGCCCGCAATTCGTCCGGGTTGGCCGTTAAGCTCTGGTCTACTTGTCAGGGCATGCACGGAGACTTCACAAAGCTGAGTCAGGTTCTCTGGGCGAACAGATATAGTGCTACCGTCATCCAGCTGGACCTCGTAACGGCCACGCTGCTGCTCAAAGCCCCTGACCATACCGTTCTTCCCGTTGTGTTCCGGCGAGCTTGACAAACCATGGATGACTACCTGGTGCCCAGCAGGGATGGTGCATGGTTCACGAGGGCGACGCCTTGAGCGTGAGCTTGTGGCACCTCCTGGCATGCCCATGGACATGAAAATCTCCGAGATGTCGATGCCACCAACACCACCCATGGAAGACATACCAGGCATACCAGCCATGCCAGGTGTTCCCATACCATCCAGGCCACTTCCGCTGAACATGTACGAGGCCCGGCCCCCAAGGACACTTTCAAAGAGCTTCTGGGCCTGCTCTGGCGTCATGCCAGTCATGCCACTACCAGCTTCTGGCGAAGCGTGGAAGTACGTAGCACCAGGATTGCCAGGACCGTCCTGCCAACATATCAAGGTATCCGAGATCTGGGACAGGTCCTGCTACGTATCTGCGAATTACATGGAATCGCGCTGCATTTGCCTCAGGTGAATTCAAGACTGCAAGCATGGCGTCCTTGCCATACTGGTCATACATCTTCCTCTTCTCGGGATCATGCAGCACTTCATAGGCCTCCCCGATGCGTTGGAACTCCTCCTTGGCTTGCTCCATCCTGCTGCAGGCAATACGTGGCGCATGCCCACACGCTCCCCCTGTCTGAAAGTCCTTTCGGCATTCCGATCCGGATGGTGCTTCAAGGCCAGTTTGCGATAGGCCTATCCAGCAGTGCTATCACCTGGCTATGTTTCGACTTCTTCGAGCCTTGGTGATGTCTGCATCGCTGGCGTCGCGTGGCACGCCAAGGACCTTGTAGAAGTCTGAGGAATGGACATCCGCTGCCTCAGTTGAGCTGGATTCCAATGAGATTCAGACGTGCTCAGCTGGACAACCTGATGTTTCCTGCACACCAAAGTAGCTGGAGCCATACTTCCTGGAGCAGAATGTATGTCGTCTGGGAGCTTGGAATGAACTACAGATTGCACCTATCTTGAGCCATTTTCCAGACAACGCTTCAATGGTTACAAAATGGTTGGTCAGATGAGCAGCTACACGGAGTAAGTACATGCGAATACCTCACCTCTCGCAGCCAGTGGTTGTAGCTTGCATGCAAAGCGTGGAGGCACCTTTTCCCGTTCACATACACCAAAGTTCTTTGGGACTGCCTTTCTATGTCAGCGCCGCTCGTCGCCGTCCTGCATCGATCGTTGGTCCCCCCCAAACTGACAACTGTAGGGAAGCATCCAGCACCCACCTGGATGTAGACCATTTTCCCAGCTTCCAGGCGGATCGGTATATGGCAATGAGGGCGAGATGCCAGCGAAACCAGCCTTGAGAAGACAAACCTATACAGCAGAGCCTGGTGAATTCTGCTAATATCGATCTCGCACGAGCGGCAGGTCATGTTCGTTCTTGAGAAACAACATGGCGAAGTCAACAGTCTATATGGAGGTTTTTATTATCGGATTATAGACAATATAGAGATTGAAGGCTGAGCTGTAGAACCCGAGCTGCTCTAGTCCAGGCCTTATTCCGTGAGTATACTTTCAAGCATGAACCACAGCGACACCTCCAACCATGGCGAAAATCAGCCAACCGGAGATCATGAGTGCTCTACGCATGAACCTTATCCAGATGCACTGATCAAATGGCATCGAATGCATCTGCGTGACTCTGGGTCTGACCGCAGCGTCTCAGATGCATAGGACCTGAAACAGCCAACGCATGCCAGCGCACACGCACACTTGTGCAATCCTCCCTCTGGACTGATTGGGAATTCTCCATATTCAGTCTTCGTCAACACAGAGGAGTAGGATCTTAAGAGGATTTAGGCTCTGCCCATGGCTTACCTCTTGCCATGTCTGTCATGC